TCCGCGCCCCAACGGCCCGCTAGTTTGCTCCGACCGCGTGACCCGCGGGGCTGTCCCAACAACTTCGCGATCTGGCCATCGGAGAAAACGTCCCTGCCTGCCTAGGCTGCGAAGGCGCCGAGGAAAATCTGCATGCGCGCCCATGCAGGAGGGACGGGGGAGGCGGTGGATGGGGAAGACGAGGCAGGATGACGAGGAAGAAATCACGCAAAGAGCGGAAGGCGGGGAGCATCCGCGAGGATTAAAGGAGGAGTGCGACAAAGAGACAGGAAGAGCTCCCCCGCAATCGCAAAAACGACGATGAGGATCACTTCCAGACTCGCCGAACAGATTTTCATGCGGGGTCCTTCCGTCGGAATGGCTCTGGTGCCTTTGATGAATCCCAATTGGGACTCGACCCATCCCGCCGACTACCGGGAACATCCTCTCCCCTTCACATGTCCTAATATTGACGCAAAGACGGCTAAGATGGCCTCCGAGGCGGCCATGATGGCTCCAAGCGAGCCCAATATGGCCGCAAGATGTCTCCGAGACGGCCCAAGAGGCTTCCAAGACGGCCCAAGAGGCCTCCAAGCTCCAAGAGGTCCTCCAAGAGGGCCGAAACGGACAACATGATTTTCGTAGGTTCTTGGAAGACTTCGGCGTTTGCGCCTATACGGCCTCCTGCCCACTGCCCAAAACGCCCCCAAAATCGCCCCCAAAGCGCCTAAGGGGCCTCCCGGATTGCCCCATGACGGCCACAAGACAATCCAAGACGCCCAAATGGCTCCCAAAGCGGCCCTGAAACGCCTCAAGAAGGCCCCACGCCAGCCCAGAGAGGCCCCCACGACGGCTTCCGACGGCGTTAGACGGGATAGGAATGCCCTAAGACGGCCAAGGAAGCTCCGAATAAGCCCCCAGAAGCCCCCACGATGCCCAAGCATGCCCCCAAGAGGCCTCCAAGAGGCCCCAGGAGGCGCCGAGGAGTCCCCGAGGGTGCCCCAGACGCCCTGCCCTCCTCTTTCTCTTCCTCCCCCTAATGTTCCTTGAAGGGTTCCCTCAACGGCTGGGGGATCTGGCCGATCTCTGGCCATAGCGTTCGCCAACACAGGCGCTTCCAAAAGGCAGGGGGCGGCGGTGGTTCGCCGTAGGCGTCTTCGATCCGCCGCGCCCCTGCGGCCTGCCACAAGGGCGCACGGCGTGCCAAACGTCTGGGAACACGAAGCACATCCGCACACTGGCACCGTCCAGGGTGCTGCGGGTGCGGCGCCGCCAGGACGTCAGAAAATAGGCCCAATCAAAAATCCTGCTCAGTCTTGTTGCTGAGCCTGTTCGAATATATATCTTGCGTTTGATGTTGAAGATCTTGCCCTCAAGGCTGGAGGTCGGCAGGTGGAGGTCGAACACCGGGGGTGGAAGACTGGATGGCGATAGCTGGTGGTGGATGCAGAGGGTCGGAAATTGGAGGCTGGATGTCGGCTTTCGACAACTGGAAACCGAAAGTTGGATGTCGTCAGCTGCTTGTGGGTGGTGGTGGTCGGAAGTTGGAAGCGGCATGTCGGCCAGGTAACATGGATATCGACTGTTGGTGGTGGCAAGCTGGAGGTGGAACATTGGGAGTCGACAGCTGATGTTTGTTGGTGGGAGTCGCGTGTTGGAGGCTGGTCAGGTAATGCTGGCGGTCGCAGGAGGTCGCAAGGTGGAAATGGAAAACTTGCGTGGAATCGGGAGTTCAAAGCTGGAAACTGGTCAGGTGAAGCCGGAAATCGATGGGCGGAGGTCGAGAGCTGGAAGTGGAAATTTGGATGCCTTCAATTGGTGGGGGTGGTGGTTGGCGTCCGTTAAGGGTACTGTCGGTGCAGCGCCAGAGCGCCCGGAGATTGCGGTACTCACTTGACCAGCTAATTTGTCGTATGCCGCGACATCTGGTGCCAGATTGCTCCAGATATATTAGTCAGCGCAAGAAACGAAATATATGTCGCGTCCATTTGTGCTCGCCAGTGTTAGCCAATTTCCGTAACTAGCGCCATTCTTTGGACACCCGGTCTGTGATTCGTAACTTCTCCATTGCCGCCGCAACCTTGAGGGTGGCACATTTTACCCAATTGACCGAGAGTTCCAAATATTTGCCGCGGTTGCAATATCGTCAACGCGTGGTGAAATATCCGGTGTGCTGTCAACGTCACGTCCGTCATCGTCGTCGGAATGCTGGTGGACGTTGCGGTGCTGGTCGTCGTTGCTGTCGCTGGCCTCTTCTGCCTGTGGAGAAGGCTGGGCGCTGGTTATGACGGTGCGCCTGGGCACCTTGACTCTCATGAGAAGCATCTGCCGCTGTGTGCGTCCCAATTAGTTATTCAATTCGGTCGTTCGGGCCCATGCTTCGCAACCATACACGATAATGAGTGTAATGGTCCCGTTGAAGAGGCGGGGATAGTCTGATTGTGAATATGTTGGCTCGGACAACTCTTTTTGAATGCGTGGGACTTCCGCCTAACTGTGGCGATGCGACGTTCTATTTCGGTGGCGTGGGGCGTGCTGAAATGCGGTTGTCGTCCGAGGTACTTCGTGGCGCGGTAGGGCGACATAACCTCGATCGTCATGCCGTGCACATTCACGCTGTCGGGTGCGTATTTGCCGCTTGGTCGGTTGCCGTTGCGCAAGATTTTCCTGACATGGTACAATTCCAAAACCGCTTTGCCCGCCTCGGTGACCAAGTCAGACATCATGATCCGGCAAAGAGAACCACATCATCGGCGAAACTCAACTTTGCCAACCTGTCATTCGATTTTTTCGGGGATTGGAAAATTCCCCATTGGGTCCACCGCGCCAGCCAACCGGAAACCGCCCATATATGGGAACTTTCGCATCCAAGACGACCAGGATGGCTGAAGATGGCCTCGAAGATGCCTCCAAGACGGCTGAAATGATGCCAAGAGAGCCCGAATGTGGCCCCAAGATGTCTTCAAGACGGGCCGAGATGCACTCCAGACGGTCCAAGATGGATCAACACTTGCCCAAGATGGCCCAAGAAGCCCCCAAAGGCCTCCAAAACGGCCAAGGAGGCCTCCAAGACATTCTTCAGGAGGGCCCGGAAAAAAACTCAAGTCGTTGAGCATCCTTGTGGCTTGTAAAAAAGATGTTGCCATGTGCTTCTTTTCGGCCTTCCGACGGCGCAAGACGGCCGAAGAGGCCCTCAAAATCGCTCCAAAAAGGCCTCCAAGGCGGCCCCATGACGGCCCAAAAGACCCGCCCGGAAGACGGCCCCAAGAGGGCCCCGGCCCCAAGGCCCCAGGAGGCAGCCAAAAGGCCCTCTCAGAGGCCTCCAAGAGGCTCCCAGGGGCCGCCCAAGAGGCCCCAAGAGGGCCTCAAGATGCCTCCTTTTCTTCTTCCTCCTCATTATCCTCCTTCTTTCTCTTCCTCTCCCAAATGCTCCCCCAAGGAAACAACCGCTGGGACAACGCGTGGTCCAACAGTTTGGCCAGACTTCGGCACAACGCTTGCACGGGCTTTTCCACTGAAGCTCCCAGGGGCTGGCGAGAGTGGCGGCGGTTGCCAGCGTGCAGCGTACAGGCAGGCGAGGTCGAGTTTGGTTCCCTTGAAGAGGGCGTCGCCCCGATGGACCTACCAACCTACCAAGAGGCTGAACATGGTAACATAAAGCTCCCTCCCGTCGTGGCGTCCTTCCTACGACGTGAAAACATCTGGGCAGAACAAACAAGTGTGTGTGTGTGTGTGTGTGTTTGCCTCCCCCAGCGCAGGCACCGAACAAGTGGGTCGCTATTGCATCTAGAGCGGGGGCGGCAAGGGAAACATGGATAAGAGGATGAGGACGAGGCCGAGAAGGACAGGACAGAACAGGACAGGACGCGTTCCATCGGCCCGGAGGCCGCCCCGAGACGGGCGGCGCGGAGGCGCCTCGGCGCCTTCAGTTCTTGAAATGCTCGGTCGTCTCCAGCCAGCGCTTGAATTGCCCACCTGGCCGCCGAACGCGGCGTTCAGGATCCCAGTTGAAAGCAGTGTGCGCCCAAGATCCGCTCTCCGTACGCATGCGCTCAAGCCAGTGAACTGCTAGTCTGCGGCGTTCGTCAATCCAGTCGCGAAGCTTCAGGCGCGCCAGGCGCTGTTCAGCATCATTCGTCGCCCTCTTGAGCCAATCCTGCCAAGGCTCCAATTCAGGACCCTCGCCTTGTGTGGACACAGCACAAGAAGACTGTGCTGAAGTAGAAGAAGGATACCTGGGCGCACTGGGCCAGCACGTGAATGAGTCAACAACTCTCCTGCTGCAGCGTACGATCACGCGGAGCATTTTCCGTTGCGTTCTACGGATCCTGTCCTCGAGCTCCTTGGTGAGTACCCAGGTAGCTGCCCCATACAGCAAAGTCGTTGATACGGTGCTGTCGAATAGCCGGAGGCGCGAGTTTAAAGGATATCTGCGATTGGTCAGTTCACCACGTTGTTGCATGAAACGCTTCCATGCCATATTGATTATGTTGGCAATCTCTACATCGTGGGGGCGATCGAAACTCACCTGCCGCCCCAAATATTTGACTTTACCGTTGAAGGGCACGATCTCTATCGACATACCGTCCACCACGGTCTGCGTGTCTTTCGGGCGGCCGGTGCCGCGCGCCGTGTTGCTCAATATCTTCGTTTTATCTGGGTGCAGTTCCAGTTCCAACATAGCCGCCGCTCTCCTGACGTTGGTAGGCATTCCTTTCAGCTGCCTGAGGCTTGTCGCTTCAAGTAATACATCATCCGCGAAGCGCAGGTTGGTCATCTGTCGTACTTTTGTATATCCGATCTTTAACCCCCATCCTTTCCGTAACCATTCCGCCTTGACGCAGGCCGAGAGTGAACCAACGACGACCCCTAAGCTCAAAGACGATTACGCGAGCGCCGGAGGAACGAAATGGGTTAGGCTACAGTCCGACGGGGTCCACACGAAGAGGGGAGGGCGAGCAGGAGGGTGAGGACGAGGAGGACGAGGCAGGGGAAGGATGGGACGAGGAGCAGGAGGACCAGGAGTACGAGGACGAGGAGGCGAGGGCAAGGAAGATGCGGAGGACACACAAGCCGCTGCCCCTCGGCGCGCGCCCCCCTAGCCCCGCGCGGCCGCCCGCCCGGGCCGGGCTCTCGCCGGCGTGGGCAGCGCTCCCTCCCCCGGACTCTCGAGGAGCGCAGTCGTCGTCGTCGTCGCCGCCGTCGCCGTCGTCGTCGTCGACGGCCGTGGTCCTCGTCCCCATCCTCGTCCTCGGGGGAGCGAGGGGGAGGGGAGCGGGAGAGGAGGACGTGGGGGAGTGGGGGAGACGGACCCAGGGGTCACGCCATCCCCCTCCTGGCCTCCTCCGATCCTCCTCGGCTCTCTCCTCCTGGACTCCCCCCGGAGAAAACAGGTCCTGGTCGGCGCGCTGTCCCAGCGTCAGCATGGAGGACACGAGACCTGGAGAGGAGGGGCCCTGTCTTGAAGGGGCTTAGCAGCGTTTCTCCAATCGACTTGCGGGGTCCAGCCAGGTCAATCCAGAGACATCGAGGTTACATCCAAGTGATTCTATGTAACTCCGAACAGATCTAGATACATCCAACGGTCTCCAGTAACATCTGGAGCAACTTGTGGACGCTCCAGCGCGAGTGGAGGGACAACAGAAGTCGTTAAGCCCCGAACAATCCTGGGGGATTATCTCCGTGTTCGACCCCCCCGTGGCCTTTTATGGGCCCAGAGGCCGACAGGCAGCGACTCATACTCAAGAGCTGGCCCTGGTCAAAGGCCTGGGGTCCTGGAGGAGAGCCCAGAATCGAATCGACAAGTCGGATCGGCGATAGAAACGGATCGGCTCGGCGGAACTCGGCAGCCAAGTCGGGAGAGTCGACTCGGCGGAAATCGGCAAACAAGCGAAGCAACCATGGGGAACCCGAAAGTCAGACTGGAATCTGAGGTCGATCCAGAACAAGAATCGGAATCAATCGAAATCGAATTGAGTCGGGAGAGTCGAAATGAGCCCCGCCAAGGTGCTCCGAATTTCCCCCCCAAGTGCGTCTCCCGCGCGGGTTTTCCGGGTTGGGTTTCTTGCGAAGGTTTCTTGCAGCCGCGTGAATGCTTTCCCTGCCCCCCTTGTGAACAACGACACCCCTGCTTGGGCCACGCACGCGATGTGCGTTCGCCACCGCTGCAACCAACCTAGCCCCATGCCCGCTTGGCAACGTGTTCGACGAACTCCGAACCCTGCCCCCGCCGCCCATCGAATCGCCTGTGTCATCCTTGGAGGCATGTGTCAGACCCGGAGATCTAGTGTATTCATCTTGTCGTATATCGCTTCTCGAAGGGTGTGGCCAGAAAGCGCCCGCCACAGGGGCCTGCACTAGAAGTTTTTTCTGCGCGCGCGTCCCCCCAGGGGAGGGGGCGATGCACACATAGTATTAGTAGCTTGGGTGACGCCGAGGGTATGGTCGGACCTAAGACAGAAGAGCCTCCTTCAAGAACATGAGACCCTCCGCTGGCCAAGCTGCAGAACACTCGAGGGTACCTTCCCCCAGCAACAACCACGAAGAACATTAGGGTACCCTCCCCAAACCTACCTCGATCATATACTTGGCGGCGCGCAAAGGGGGATAAAAACAAGAAGGGGAAACGCTCCTTAGAAACCGGCTGTCCCTAGGCCCTAGAATGTGCCAGCCGCCCTTCTAAGAAGCCAAGGGCGCGCCGCTTCTTGGAAACATCCCAGCAACGTCTTAGCAGCACGAAACTGTCTCTTAGAAGCACAAGCAGTTTCTTAGAAGTAAGTCACCTGCTTATAGAACACGCCAGGGGCAGCTTCTAAGAAGCAACCACAAATTTCTTAGAAAGTGCGCACGCGCCTTCTAAGAACGGGGGAGCTTCTTAGAGGCCTTCCTCCCTCCCGCCAGCCCCCTCTGCGCGTGGCTGATATACCTCGGTCCGACCGTCGTCGCCACCCCGTTCTTTCACGGCGCCACTGCGCGCGTGCCGTCGCGAACGCAAGTACACAGATCTTTTGGGCCGCGGCGGCCGCGCAACGCGCTCCAGCAGCAGAGCGGGGTGCCCTTTTTGCTCTGGAGACCTCGTCTCGCGGGATCTGCTCCACGGGAGCCTCCGCCTCGCGGGGGACCGCGAGGGTGGAGGGGGCAAAAGGCAGCCCCTTCTCCCAAATACTGCCCCAGCCCTCCTCGAGGATCGGGGAGGGATTTCGGACGTCTTCGGACTGGTATTGGACGCTGTCGGCCCTTTCGGGCCTCCGTGGACCTCCTGGGGGCAGGATCCGGGGCGGGAGCAGCACTTACCAGCCCCTCCTTTTTCAACGCTGGCCACACATAAGCGTCGAGGCTGTTGCGTTCGGAGCCCACCCTTCTCCTCCTGCTTCTCATCCTCCTTCGCCTCTCTCTTCTCCCCTCCCTCGCTCGTAAGCGCTCGTAGGTTCCGCTTCGACTCGCATCGCGACTGTTCTTACTCACTCACTCCCCTCTTCCCTTTTCTTCCTCTGTCTGCTGCTCATCTGCGGGAGAGGGGGGGGGAGGGAGGGGGAGGTGAGGGAATCCTGGCTGGCTCTGGGAGGAGCTGCGGACGAGAGGCAAACTAATCGGCGACGATGCACGTTTCACCTCCCAGACCTCGTACACTCAAGCAGAAGATATCGCAGAAATGGGAGACACACATTTCGCTTTTTTGCAAGCGCAAACCGAGCCATGCGGTATGTGCGGACTGGCGGCGTCTGCCACACATCATCGTAGAGCGTCTGCCCACGACGCGGCTGGTCTCCTACCAACCGGCACTGCCGTGGTGCACGAGGGGGGCTGCCACTGCGACCACCCTCGGCGCACCTGGCGTGTAGAAACCTGATCTGGCACAATATGTACAAATGGATTCGTATCAAAACTGCAATGCGAATCGCGCACATATTTGAGAGACACAGATTTCGCAATGGAAGTCCACACCGGGGTTCATACACGTCTACCATCTTGGAGACCGGGGGGCAGGGGGCAACGTGCCGCGTAACGGAGGTGTCAACCCTGCGCGCGCAGACGCATTCCCTCCTGCTGATGAGAATCGTGCACCTGGTGTACGCGAGAACGTGCTGTCCTGCCGAAAGAGTTCGCAGAAGGGGATCCAATCGATTGTCGGTTTGGATCAAGACTCGCGAAGACGCTCCCCCCGGTAAGACGACCGCCGACACGGCGCAAATGTCCATGCTCGACAGGTGGAGCAACATCAACGCAAAACGCCATGCTTTGCTGCTGGTGATCTTTAAAACGGTCTCATTCGCTCGCCGACTTTGGTGTCGGCCCAGATCACGGCCCCGAATCGTTCTGCACTGGGGGACTTCTCGGACCTAATCGACCAGAAAGGGCAGGGCTTTGGAGCCCGAAGCGAGGCAAACGTACACACCGTGATCTCCCCTGTGGCGCCCAGATCGAGGAAGGTTGGGGTGATTCTCCTCGATGTGGGAAGACCGAGGAGATGGTGAACATGTGCAGGAAGGGGAGGTTTGAGAAAAAGAAGAACAGCAACGCATGTACAAAGAGCAACTGCCAGGGCAAGATCAAGGCAGGACGGGCCGAGGGCCTGGAATAGGGACAGCGCCGATCGAGCCAAATGTCACTCCATCCACGGGACGGGGAAGTTGCATGCGTTGTGCAATAACCAAGGCCTCGCTAATGGCCATGTTGGTTAACCATGATATTGGGAATCTGGTTTTAGCGACGCCGTTCTCGCGCAGAACAAATTGTAGGAACACACGAACACGCCTTTCCTACACATGGGTTGGCCGCGAGCAACCCCGTCAGCAATACAGAAATCTAGATCGCCGTTGCCTACGTCGCCCATAAGTCTACCAAAGAATGTGCGGCTCAATGGCCCACGCAGACTCGCAAAACTGATGTTGAACTAACGACTTCATATTGGGACGTCATGCTGTTCAATGATACTCGCGCGGAAAAGCAAACAGTGGAGTTGGGGGGCGGACATCGTCTATAGTTGCACAATGCAGATGATGCTGCATCATGTGTATGCTCGGGTCATTTCCAACATCCACTCGACACGTTTTATGTTTGATTGAGTACGGCGGCGGATGTCGTTTTGTGCTGTTGAAATACCTCATGCTGGATATCCGGCTGAAGCGTTGAACCAAAATACGGGATAACGCACCAAACATTGACAAACGCACAATCCGCAATGACATGCTATCGAGGTAGGGGGGGTAAGTTCATTCACATTGGGGATTTTGAATAGTAGATCAGGAGATGACTGAGTTGGCTGCAGCTTTCAACTTGAAAGTCGTCAATGAAGATGGGAACGGTCGTGATGCAACCAGTTAGACATTAACGAGCAGCTTGGGACAAGTGCGGAGGATTCACTCCATTGTTACGTCGCCGTACCTGCATACATCGACCTGGATTATGTCAGAATGTGTGGACCCAGGGTAAGATCACCGCGCTCTGTTCGTGGAGCTCGTTGCTGGGAGGACCCCCCGCCGACGAAACAAGGTGTCACGATCATCGATGTGAGGATGGACTCCTCTCGAAGCTGACGCTGCTGTTCAGAACGCTTTGGACGAGAACCTCAGACACCATGCGCCGTCATCGATGTTTGATGCAGACGCGATATTCCTCGACACAGCGGCAACTCATGGGGGAAGGCGCGTGCAACAAGCGACGACGGTTCAACAAACAGCCGTGGAATTCACCTCGTTTTCAGGATCCTCTCCAACAGAAGCCGTCGTACACTCGAACCCCACGAACACACAGAACTCCCAACACATACAAAACCATATCCGCAGGGAGCTATCCTGGGCGAGTTCATCGAGCTCGACCAGATCAACAACGCAATGCAACTACCAGCAGGCTCCTCTGAATTTGGATCTGGTGCGCAAACACGGCCGAAGGACTTCGCCAACTCCTGGAAAGGATCTCCATGACGGGATGATCGTACACTTCTGGATCAACGCCTGTGAGTACCTGTAACACATATATACGTATGGATGTATGATTATATAAATACTAGAACCACGCGCGCTCTGGTTATAGTCTACAGTGCTCGGCGTCAGAGGACACAGTGTCACGCAGATTGTGCAGCTCAGGGAGATCCACCGACGGCCCCATATACAGGCTTGGCTTAAGAGTCTCCCCGCCTATGCTGGTACACCCCTCAAAGGGATCGCGCGCCACAGGGACCTCCACCTATGTCCCCAGAGGCAAGGTTCGCATAGTGGCACGCTTCTCGCGCGGATCGTGCCCAGCACGAAACTGCATCTGCGGCACCAGAGGGGAGCTTCATAGCGTCGCCTGGCGTAGTTCGGCATACCTCTCGCACGGATCGTGGCTCGCAAGGACTTCCACAGACGGTCCCAGAGGCAAGGTTCGCATGCCGCCCCCCCGCCTACTTCGGCACACCTCACGCACGGGTCGTGGCCCATAGGGATCTCCACCCATGGCCCCAGAGGTAAGGTTCGCAATGCGCCCCTCCGCCCATTCCGGCACAGACGCTCAAGATGGCCTCCAAGACGGCCCAAGAGCCCTCCAAGACGTCCTCCAAGAAGGCCCGAAAGGGTCAAAATGGCCTCCAAACAGCCAAGATTACCTTCAAGATGCCCACGTGTTCCCCGAAGGCTTTCCAAACCGATTCGGGGAACACATGGTCCGATAGCTTGGCAAGTCTGGGCCACATAGGCGCTTCCACAAAGGCAGGGAGCGGCGGTGATTCGCCGTAGGCGTCTTAGATCCGCCGCCCCCTGTCGATTCATCACAGGGGTGCCTGGCGTGCTGGACTTCTTTTCCAAAAGAAGACCAAAAGAAAACCCCCTGGGGCTTCAGCCCGTCCCGCCGGGGTCCCGGGAGGATTACCCAGACCCGATTGCCAAGGATTTTTCTCTCCAGATGGCTCCAAGACGGCCCAATATGGCCTCCAAGATGCATCCAAGACAGCCAAGATGGCCTCCAAGACGGCTAAGATGGCTCCAAGATGCCTCCAAGACGAGCCAAGATGCACCCAAGACGGCCTAAGATGGCATCAAGATGGCCCCAGAGACCCCTAAGAGACCTCCGATACGGCCCAAAGGCCTCCAAGAGGTCCTCCAGGAGGGCCCGAAGAGTCCAAAATCATTGATTTTCCTTTGGTTTTTTTGTTGTTTAAGGATTTTGGCGTTTGCGCCTTTTCGGCTTTCCGACGGCCCAAGACGCCCAAGAGGCCCCCAAGGTCGCCCCAAGATCGCCCAAGAGGCTTCCAAGATGGCCCCATGACGGCCCAAGAGGCCCCCAAGACGGCCCCAAGAGGGCCCACGAGGGCCCCAAGACGCCCAAGATGGCCTCCAAGACGGCCAAGGTGGCCTCCAAGATGCCTCCAAGAAGGCAAAGATGGCCTCCAAGACGGCTAAGATGGCCCCTAAGATGCCTCCAAGACGGCCCGATATGCACCCAAGATGGTCTTAGATGGGCCCAAGAGGCCCCCCAGAGGCCTCCAAGAAAGATGGCCCAAGAGGCCTCCAAGAGGTACTCCAGGAAGGCCCGAAGAGGCCAATATCATAGATTTGCCACAGGTTTTTGAAGCATTTTGGCATTTGCCCAAGAGGCGCCCAAGATGGCCCTGTGACGGCCCACGAGGCCCCCAAGACGGCCCCAAGAGGGCTCAGACGGCCAAGATGGCCTCTGAGACGGCCAAGATGCCCAAGATGGCCTACAAGATGCCTCGAAGACGGCCAAGATGGCCTCCAAGACGGCTAAGATGGCCCCATCATGCCTCCAAGACGGCCTTAGATGGCCTCAAGATGGCCCAAGACGGCCCAAGAGGCCCCGAAGAGGCCTCCAGGAAGGCCCAAGAGGCCTCCAAGAGGTACTCCAGGAAGGCCCGAAGGGGCCAAAGCCATTGATTTCCCATAGGTTTTTGAAGCATTTTGGCATTTGTGAACGTTCGGCCTTCCGACGGCCTAAGACGGCCCAAGAGGCCCCCAAGGTCGCCCGAAGATCGCCCAAGAGCCCTCCAGAATGGCCCCGTGACGGCTTAAGAGGCCCCCCAGACGGCGCCAAGAGGGCCCCAAGACGGCCCAAGACCCCCACAAGACGCCCTCTCGATGGCCTCGAAGACGGCCCTGAAGAGCCCCAAGAGGGCCCCAAGTCGGTTGAGAGAGGCCCCTAAGACGGCTTCCGACGGCGTTAGACGGGTCAGGAACGCCCTAAGACGGAGTTTCTTGAAGGTTGTTGGGGGGCTTCTTGGGTGCGTTTTGGGGACTCTTGGGGCTTCCTTGGGACCTCTGGGGGCGGAGGGCTTGAAATGTTCGTAGGGCATCCTCTCTGGGCCCCTGCTTGGGGCCGTCCTGGGTCCTTCTTGGGCCGTCTTGGGGACCTCTTGGGCTAGCCAGGGGCCCTTTTGGGCTGTCTTGGAACCTTCTTGGGCTGTCTTGGGGCGATCCTGGCGGCCTCTCGGGCCGACTTCGTTCCCCTAGAAGGGCAAGAGGCGAATCCCTGCAAAATGTCAGTTTTCCGAAGGGAACCGGGCCATTTTTGGTCCATGTGATGCAATTCGTCACCCCGGATCCGTTTTTGCCGTCCTGGGGGCCCCAGAAGCAGCCCCTGGTGGCAAAACAAATGAAAACAAACATCTTCCCGAACCCAGAACCCCGAACCTCTGCCCCCCCTCCCTGCTCGCCAAAATCCATGCTGGGCCACCTCAGATCCCCAGCCGGCTCCAAGTCACCGTGTTCCTTGTCTCGGAGATAGAGGCCTCCCAAATGGGGTCCGAGTAGATGAGGTCGGAGGGCCACGTCGCCGAATCGCCGACGCATCGGCGACGTCGGCGTGGATACAATCAGGCTTCACATCGAGTCGCATCGCCGATGCATCGGCGATTCGACGCGATCCTCCGACCCCATCTACTGGGACCCCCCCTCGGAAGCCTAGAGAATTCGGACGCCAGAAATGGGTACCTAAGAAGCGGGTACGATACCCAACGACAAGTGTTGTCCAACACCGACAGTGACCGCTGTTGGGCAGGCTGCCATATGTCTCAAATAGAGAAGGCCCGCGGCGTCACCGACAGCGAATCCTGTTCAAAATCATCAGGACATTCTGCCGTCCTGTGAAACTATAAAGGCCTCCCAAATGGGGTCGGAGTAGATGGGGTCGGAGGATCACGCCGCATAGCCGATACATCGGCGATGCATTGGTGATGCGCTGGCGATACATCGACGACGTCGGCGACGCAGCTGCTACGTCGACGTGACGCAAATCGGGCCCCACATCGAGCCGTATCGGCGATGCATCGGCGATGCGGCGCGATCCTCCGACCCCATCTACTCGGATCCCACCTGGGAGGCCTAGGACCAGCTTCCCGTGCCATGTCGATCGTACCGAAACGAGCGCTACAGAGTGGCGCCCTGCCCCCGCCCCTCCAGCAGCGGCGCGGGCCCAGGGCTCGGGGCGCTGCAGCCGCCGCCTGTGCCGTCGCCGCCCCTGGCACGCGCGCGGTGGCACGGCGCGCACGCCCTCCTGGCCGAGGCCAGGCGGCCCTGATAGAAGAGAGAGAGAGAGAGAGAGAGCAGTACCCCTTCGAAGCCTCCTAGATGGGGTCCGCGCCGCATAGCCGATGCATCACCGATACATTGACGATGCATCGGCGTGGGGAAATACGGGCTCCGCATCGAGCCGCATCGTCGATGCATCGGCGATGCGGCGCGATTTCCGACCCATTCTCTACTCAGACCCATCCAGGAAGCCTGAAAAGGTACTCAAACATGTCGTCGTCGTGAAAGAACACGGCGGGCGTTTTTCTGCATCAGGAGGCCCTCGCCGAGCCCCGGGGCCGTCAACAGAAATAGATGTACATCTTGTCCTGGGGAAAGGGTCGGGACGCAAGGGGGCCACCGTACTGAAAAAGTCAAGACGTCGCATGTCTGGGTATGCACATACAACGATCCCAAGGAGGCCCATCCGGGGCCCAGAATTGGTACATACCCTGCCTTGGCCGGGGGGGCATCTGCATAAATCCTAGGCCCAACATGGACCTGGCCAGGATCTGTTTATGTGCGTAGGTCTGTTCGCCCGATCTATGCGCCATCCTGGGGCCCGGGATGGCCCTGGCAATGTGTGTACGGCAGATTCGTGTCGCGACGACCTGCACGTTGGATTCTGACACCCCGTGGGTCGATCGCTCAACTTTGAGCCTTCGCGGCTTTCTGATCGAACACATGGTTCGATGTCGGCCGACGCGAACCTGCCGTACTCCCAGCGCGGGGACCAATCTCCTCTCACATGCCCCCTGCTCCTCCGTGTGGTCTTTGTCCTCGCATGTTTCCCAGACCTCCTGCGTTGGGTTCTCGTTTTGAATAGAACATGCTCGCGCGTCTCTTTCCGACCGTCTCCTTCCCACCCCGTCCCGTCCCTCTCTTCCCCCCTGCCTCCTACCTGGTCATCCCTGTGCCACTTTCGAAGGCTGCTGGGGGCTACGATATGTGAAATTGTCGCCACTTTCGAGGGCTGCTGGGGGGCCCAGCACAGTGGGTACCCACCGCAGACTCAAACTAGACCTCGCCATCCCTGGGGGCTGCGATCTGTGAAACTGTCGCCACTTTCGAGGGCTGCTGAAAGGCCCAGCACAGTGGGTACCCACCGCAGGCTCAAATTAGACCTCGCCACCCCTGGAGGGCTGCGATCTGCGAAGCTGTCGCCAGTTTCGAAGGCTGCTGAGGGGCCCAGCACAGTGGGTACCCACCGCAGACTCAAACTAGACCTCGCCATCCCTGGGAGGCTGCGATCTGTGAAACTGTCGCCACTTTCGAGGGCTGCTGAGGGGCCCAGCACAGTGGGTACCCACCGCAGACTCAAACTAGACCTCGCCATCCCTGGGGGGTTGCGATCTGTGAATTTGTCGCCACTTTCGAGGGCTGCTGGGGGGCCCAGCGCAGTGGGTACCCACCGCAGACTCAAATTAGACCTCGCCACCCCTGGGGGGCTGCGATCTGCGAAGCTGTCGCCACTTTCGAGGGCCGCTGAGGGGCCCAGCACAGTGGGTACCCACCGCAGACTCAAATTAGACCTCGCCATCCCTGGGGGGCTGCGATCTGTGAAACTGTCGCCACTTTCGAAGGCTGCTGAGGAGCCCAGCACAGTGGGTTCCCACCGCAGACTCAAATTAGACCTCGCCATCCCTGGGGGGTTGCGATCTGTGAAACCGTCGCCACTTTCGAGGGCTGCTGATGGGGCCCAGCACAGTGGGTACCCACCGCAGACTCAAATTAGACCTCGCCCACCCTTGGGTGGCTGCGATCTGTGAAACTGTCGCCACTTTCGAGGGCTGCTGAGGGGCCCAGCACAGTGGGTACCCACCGCAGACCCAAACTAGACCTCGCCATCCCTGGGGGGATGCGATCTGTGAAACTGTCGCCACTTTCGAGGGCTGCTGATGGGGCCCAGCACAGTGGGCACTAACCGCATGACTCAAATTAGACCTCGCCCACCCTGGGGGGCTGCGATCTGTGAAACTGTCGCCACTTTCGAGGGCTGCTGAGGGGCACAGCGCAGTGGGTACCCACCGCAGACTCAAACTAGACCTCGCCATCCCTGGGGGGCTGCGATCTGTGAAACTGTCGCCACTTTCGAGGGCTGCTGAGGGGCACAACACAGTGGGTACCTACCGCAGACTCAAGTTAGACGCCGCTTTCGTCCTTGTTCTCCTCCTGCAGTCACCTTCCCTCTGCTGCTGCCGTGCTGATGGTTCGGCTTCCCGCACGTTTTTCTCCTGCTCTGCGTTCCCGACTCCCCATGTCCTCTTCGAGCTTGTAGCTGTCGCCCCTCGTTCTTGTATGGTTATCCAGCGCATCATGCCATAGGCGCGTGTCCCACGTAGCTTACACAACAAGTTGATTGACCATGCAAGTTTCGGCCAACTCCTCCTTTCCATTGATACAATTGGGTCGGGTACGTCACAGGGTAATCTTATTATTTTTGTCCCTCCTCCTCCTCCGCGTCAAGGTCTTCTTTCACCTGCCATTCCATTTCTCCTCCTCCTCCTCCTCGCCCCTGCCAAGACCCCCCAACGTAGAATTTTTGTTTGCAACGTGGATCCCCCAAAGCCTGGACCTTGTTCCCCGGGACCCTGGCGTTCTGGGAGGTGCCGGCGTTCCGGGAGGCCGAAAAACTAACTAAAGTATACTTCGCCTTCCAGGGGGCACCAGGACGGCGCACTAGGTTCTAGTTTGCCGTTTTGTGGGCTTTCTGGCAGCACCAGGACGGCGAAATAGATTCTAGTGCGCCATTCGGTGGGCGCTCTCGGGGAACCATAATGGCGAACTAGAATCTAGTTCGCCGTTCTGGCGGCCTTGGAGGGGGCTTCTAGGTTGTACCAGAAAGGTGAACTAGGATCTACTTCGCCGTTCTGTGGCCCTTCGGGGGGGCGGGAAGAAAAAGTAGTTTCCAGTTCGCCGTTTTGTGGGCCTTGTGGGGGGCACCAGAGCGGCGAACTAGATTCTAGTTCGCCGTTCTGTGGGCGGGCGGGGGGCACCCGAATGTCGATCTAGATTCTAAATCGCCGTGCTGGCGGCCTTCTGGGCGCCACCGGAAGGGCGAACTAGATTCTAGGTCGCGGTTCAGTGAGCGTGCGGGGGGCGCCTGAATGACGATCTGGATTCTAGTTCGCCGTTCTGTGGGCCTCCTGGGAGGGCAGCCGCACGGCGAAGTAGAATCAAGTTCGCCGTTCTGGCGGCCTTTCGGGGGGACCAGAATGACGAAGTAGATTCTAGTTCGCCGTTCTGCGGGCGTTCTCGGGGCACCAGAAGGGCGAAGTAGATTCTAGTTCGCCGTTCTGGCGGCCTTTCGGGGGCACCATAATGGCGAACTAGATTCTAGTGCGCCGTTCTGCGGGCGTTCTCGGGGCACCAGAGGGGCGACCTAAGCTATAGTTCGCCGTCCTGACGGCCTTGCGGGGGCACCAGAATGATATGCTAGATTTTAGTTTGCCGTTCTGTGGGCGTTGTCGGGGTACCAAAAAAGCGAACTAGAATCTAGTTCGCTGTTTCAGCGGCCTTCTGGGGGCGTCAGTGGAGGGTGCCAGACCGGCGAACTAGACTCTAGTTTGCCGTTCTGTGGCCCTTTTGTGGGGGGCGGTGAGACGAAGTAGAATCTGGTTCGCCGTTTTGGCGGCCTTCTGGGGGCGTCAAAGGGGGTGCCATAACGGCGAACTAGATTCTAGTTCGCTGTTCTGTGGCCCGTTCTGGGGGGCGTGGAGACGAAGTAGAATCTAGTTCGCCGTTTTGGCGGCCTTCTGGGGGCGTCAACGGGGGTGCCAGAACGGCGAACTAGATTCTAGTTCGCTGTTCTGTGACCCTTTCTGGGGGGCGGGGAGACGAAGTAGAAGCTAGTTCGCCGTCCTGCGGGCCTTCTGGGGGGCGCCAGAATGTTTTTGTTCGGGGAGGGCACCAGAGCGGCGAACTAAATTCTAGTTCGCTGTTCTGTGGCCCTTTTCTGGGGGGCGGTGAGACGAAGTAAAATCTAGTTCGCCGTTTTGGCGGCCTTCTGGGGGCGTCACAGGGGGTGCCAGAACGGCGAAATAGATTCTAGTTCGCCGTTCTGTGGACCTTTTCTGGGGGGCGTGGAGACGAAGTAGAATCTAGTTCGCCGTTTTGGCGGCCCTCTGGGGGCGTCAAAGGGGGGTGCCAGAACGGCGAACTAGATTCTAGTTCTCTGTTCTATGACCCTTTTCTGGGGGGCGGGGAGACAAAGTAGAAGCTAGTTCGCCGTCCTGCGGGCCTTCTGGGGGGCGCCAGAATGTTTTTGTTCGGGGGGGGGGTATCAGAGCGGCGAACTAAATTCTAGTTCGCCGTTCTGTGGGCGTGCGGGGGGCACTCGAATGACGATCTAAATTGCGCCAGAACGGCGAACTAGATTCTAGTTCGCCGTTCTGTGGGCGTGCGGGGGGCACTCGAATGGGGATCTAGAATCTAGTTCGCCGTTCTGGCGGCCTTCTGGAAGCTTGAAAAGGGCACCCGAAAGGCGAACTAGAATTTAGCTCGCCGTTCCGTGGGCGTTCTGGGGGGCAGACAGACTGGCATAAAGACGTGCGCCGTTCTGCGGGCTCTCGGGAGGGCAGAAAGACGAACTGGATTCTAGGTCGCCGTTCTGCGGGCTTGCTGGGGGGGCCCTGGCGGCGCCGCCCGGACTTCCCGAACCGCCAAGTTCAGCTGTTCAGCAGTGATTTGCTCAACTTGGCGGTTCGGAAACCTGGGGCGGCGCCAAGGGGGCCGAAGCGACAAGCTCTGCAACGGCAGGGCGCGGGGAGCGCCGAAGACGACGAGGTACACGTGATTTTGAGCGGATTTGGCCTCATCCCCCTCCTGACCGATGTCTGGAGTTCAGTCGGGGGCGCGCAAGCATGGATTAGCGATCCATGGATTTGGCGCACGGTCGCCAAATCCACGGATCGGGGGAGGTGCCCTCCCCAAAATGCGGCCAGTGCCGCCTCGTCCGGCGGCGGAATTCCGCGATTTCCTATGGCAGCGGGACCCGTCGCTAATCCACGCCCCCTTGATCCATGTTTGCGATCGCCTGATTCAGATCCCCTGGCCGCCTCCAGGTCCTCGGCCCCTCTGGGGGAGTACATCGTGTCGTCGATCCCTCGAGAGGGGCGTCGAAGCCGATGGCCCCCCCCCAAGGGCGCCCGGCGGCGTGCAGCGCGGACTGCCGGTATGGTCCTCTCGTATGGTCCCCTCGTATGGTCCCTGGAGATCGGCGTGCAACACTCCAACGCACGCACATGGACTGAGTCAGACGTTCTGCAACCCCTCGCTCTGATTCTCTTGCTGCGTTCGGGGGGGGGCGAAAGAGTAGGACAGCAAAGGGCAGAGGGGGGAGAATCACATCAGGCAACTGGTTGTTCTGGCGCCCCCTGGCGCCTCCTGGCGCTCATGTGACGAGGACTGGGCCCAGCGGCGGGGCAGAAACCAGCTGCGTGCAGAAGATTCGTAACCGCATCTTTGCCTATCCTACCCTTCCAAGCATCGGCCGATATGAATTGTGCAGTCCGCGGCCCCAACTCCGACCTCCTCCCCGTTGTTCTTGTCCGTCACGGATGAATGTTTGGTCCCCTGCAGGCCCGAGAACGGGCCCCGGAGGCCAAAATCTACAGAATCACAAGACGCCGGCTAAACAAATCATGCCCTCGGATCTCCGGGACTGTCCGTCGTGATCTTTCACGAGGCCGTCCTGCCTGGGCCGCACCCGCGGATGCCAAGGGGCTGTCGGGGACACACCGACCCACGTCAGCGCCAACCCGGGTCGACTGGGGCCCTGTCGAGAAGCCTGCAGCCGCCCGCTGAGTAGCTCCCGAACCCGCTCTGAAATCCTGGCGTTTTCGCGCAGTTTCAGGCCCCGGGACCCTGGCAGAGCGATCCAGCGCGAAAAGTTGCGCAGAGAGATGGGGTCCACGTCCCCAGTCGTGATGTGTCGCGAGGCTGCACTTGCTGGCAACTCCGGATCTGAGGGCGAGGCAGCGGAGTGCGGAAAAGGGGAATCGGCCCAACGAGGCCCCCGAACCCGGGTCAGCAGGGCGGGATTGGCCGACCCCCGCCGGCGCTGGCCCCCGCCGGCGCTGGGCCCCGAGGTTGGGCTGGGTGGGCGCAGGGCCTCCGGCAGGCCGCGGGCGCCGCTCCGCAGGCGGCGCCGTCTTCCTGCGGGCGGTGGGTGCGCAGATGCCTCCCGGAGGGGGTCGGAGAAGATGGGGTCAGAGGATCGCGCCGCATCGTCCGAGAAACAACAAGCGTTTAACATGATCGACCCACGAACCCGGAAAGGAATATAGAAATGTAAGGCATTGCAACATTTCAAAGACACCTGATTGGGCGACGGGCACATGCAATGATGAATGTATCGATGATGATGTACTGTGCCGAGGGCTGTGCTGTGCTGGGCCGTGCTGAACTGCGATGTGCCATGCCGCGATTGTGCTCTATATAGCGTTGTGGATCGAGTCCTCCCTGGCGTCCGAGTCCTCACCGAACTGATCTGGAGCGTAAGCTCGAGCTGCCTGAGCAGATGGTAGCTGCCCCAGAACTAATCGACAGAGGGAACATGCCAGGAGGACACGCCGCGGAACGTCCCAAGGGACGCGCCAGGCGACGTGCCAGGGGACGTGCCATGGGCACGCACCGCGGGACGTGCCAAGGGGACGCGCTACGGAACGTGCCAATGGACGTGCCGAGGGACGTGCCAGGGGACGCGCCGCGCGACGTGCCAGGTGGACTCGCCACGGAACGCGCCAAGGAACGTGCCAAGGTGCATAGTTGAGTGTATCGATCTTGATGTACCGTGCCGACGGCTGTGCTGTGCTGGGCCGTGCTGAACTGCGATGTGCCATGCCGCGATTGTGCTCTATATAGCGTTGTGGATCGAGTCCTCCCTGGCATCCGAGTCCTCACCGAACTGATCTGGATCGTAAGCTCGAGCTGCCTGAGCAGATGGTAGCTGCCCCAGAACTAATCGACAGAGGGAACATGCCAGGAGGACGCGCCGCGGAACGTCCCAAGGGACGCGCCAGGCGACGTGCCAGGGGACGTGCCATGGGCACGCACCGCGGGACGTGCCAAGGGGACGCGCTACGGAACGTGCCAATGGACGTGCACCGCGCGACGTGCCAGGGGGACTCGCCACGGGACGCTCCGCGGAACGTGCCAGGCAACATGCCAGGCTGCAATGCTAAGGGTATCGATATTGATGTACCGTGCCGAGGGCTGTGCTGTGCCTGGGCGACCTGGACACGTGAAAACACGCGTTTCGCTCAAGACGTTGTCAGCACATCCTCATGCTAGACATCCGCCTGGGCAACCTGGACACGTGCAAACAAGCGTCTCGCTCGAGACATCCTCAACAAATGCTCATGCTAGACATCCGCCTGGGCGACCTGGACACGTGAAAACAAGCCTCTGGTTCGAGACATCCTCAACAAATCCTCATGCTAGACATCTGTCTGGGCCACCTGGAGGCGTGAAACCAAGCGTCTCGCTCGAGACATCCTCAAGACCTGGGCACGTGAAAACAAGCAATCCACTTGAGAGATCCTCTGAATTCTGGTCCCCAGGAAAGGACAATCTATAACACAAAACAAGCGTGTCGCTCGAGACATCCTCAACAAATTCTGAAAACACCAGCGTTTCGCTCGAGACATCCTCAAATTTTAATTCGCCGGCCCTACGCGACCTCGTTATTTATCGCAAAAGAAATTCGCCGGCCCTACAGCCGTCAAAACCGGAGGGAAACCAACTAAAAGAGAACCCTGGGCCTTTGCCCTTTCCGGGAAAAACATCAGGCTCCTCACACGTCTTGGCTGCCTGGGGACTTCATTGAGGCCTCTTGCGTAATGTCATGAAACATATTGTGGCATCCGGGGCCGTCCTCGCTCTCGTGAGTTCTCCAGGAAATCATAAGTTGTGAAACTCATGTTCTATGAGCTGCAACGGGCCAGGTCTCTCGCGCGCGCGCATGTCGAAATACATCGAGTGCCACTGCGAGCGAGCTGTCGCGAGTACCCTTTGCAACGAAAAAAACGAAGCGCCCGCGCCACCGCGCGCGCATGCCGGAACCCATCGGAAACCAGCAAGGTTTCGGAGGAAGTCCAAGCGACAAAAATGCACCGAAAACATATATCTCGAACGGAAAATTAAAGTGACCATGATCTGCAACATCAGTTGTCAAGAAAAACTTGCGCTCGCGGGCTCGTGGGCCCTGAAAAAAACCGCGGGCTTGTCGGCATCATCACCAAATTCTGCCAAACGAGCCTCTCGCGCCGCATGCCGGACTCGCGCGAACGCCCTTGCGCGCGCGGGGGGGGGTGCGATCCGCGTCAAATAATGCTGCGCCGGCCACTCGCGCGCGTCGGCCGCGGGTGCATGTCGTCGTCATTGCCGCCATCGCCACCATTGTCGCTACTCTCGCGCTCGTGTCCACCTTTGTCGGCGTCTCCACGATGCCACGCCCGCCCAAATCACCGACCCGCACTGGCGCGCCCGCTGGAATGCGCCCAGCGGTCAGCGCCACCGCGGCCGAGTCGGTCGCGCCAAGCGAAGTGCCTCTGCGAGCGCGAGCACGCGCGGGCTGCCACGGCCGCAGAGACGCACCGGCCAACGTCAAGCACTCATCGCAATCGGAGCCGCATGCGTTCTGCAAGCCAAGTCGCGGTTGGGTGGGTTGGATGTTTGCACGGACAAGGAGCTTAGCAACTCGTTTGTAAGAAAACTAAGGACAACGCATACATTGCACCGCGTAGAATGCACAACCCATAGAATTGCACCGCGCATACGATTGCACCACGCATACGTTGCACAACATGTATTCCCGTCTATTGCAAAATATTTGGGCCCCCTCGGGCTTCATCGGCACACCTTATTGTGATGCTATTTACTTATGTCTCTGCCCCATCGCCCATCCTAAATGTGAGTTCGTACCGTCCCAGCCCAACTGGGTTCCACCCCTCCCGCCACCCTCTGCAACATAATTGTCCAAGAACCCTTTGCAAAACACAAAACGAAGTGCGCGCGCGACTTCGCGCGCATGTGCCGCAAATTATCCAAACGCCTTCGGCGTCGCAGAGGTCCAGTAACATCGAAAACCCCAAAAATAACAACACATCGCTTCGAAACAGGGGTTGTGCACGCCTTTTGCGAATCCTGAAAGGTACAGTGCTTTTTTGTTATGTATCTATATATATGTTCAACGGATTTCAGAGCGCGAGACCAAACGGGCATCGCGCGCGTCGAAGTCGTTCGAACGCCCTTGCGCGCGTGCCGTCGCAAGTCCATTGCAATAAGTGAATGGAGGTGCGCGCGCGCGTCGTCGCGCGCGCGTGCCGACATCCTTCAGAAATCTTCGGCATCGCGTCGATTTCAAAAACGAATGTCTAAACAACGCGCGAAAACAAATTGTTTCGCAACGTCCGTTTTCAAGAAAGCTTGCGCGCGCGCTCTTGCGAACTTTTAAGCAAACCATAGGTAGCTGAAGAATGTCATGGAATTCTGCCACAAAGCTCCATCGAATTCGGCCAAAGGGCTGCGCGCGCCGCGCGCCGACATCAATCGCGCGCCCGCGCGCGCGTGCTGGCGGGGGGGGGGGGGGCGATCCGCGTCCAATGCAACCGCGTGGGCCAGCCTCGCGCGCCGTCCGCGAGCGCGTGCCGAACTCTTCCCAAAACCTTCATCGCCAACGCGACGACGCCGCCATCGTCGCTGGCGTGATCAGCGTCGGCGCTCGCGCTGGCCGCGCCTTCGTCGGCGCGAACTTGCGAACTTTGTCGCCGGTACCGTTATTGCCATCATCGCGTCTACGGTTGTCGGCGTTGCCATGATACCGCGCCCGCCTAAGCCGCCGACTCGCAGAAGTGCCCGCGGGAGGGCGCCGAGCAGTCAGCGCCGCCGCGCGGCCGCGTCGGCGGCGCCAACTGCGTGGCCGCCGCGCGCGCTAGGGTTGCCGCGGCAGCAGAGACGCGCCATCCAACGCCAAGCGTGCATCGCAATCGCCACCGCGTGGATTTTGCAAACCAAGTTGCGGGCGGGTGGGCGGGGTGTTTGCAAGTGCGCGGGATGTGCCAATTCGTTTGTTTAAATCCATTGCACCAGATAGCGTGCGCCACATTGCTAGAAATACACTATTTGGGGTCCGCGCTGGTTCATAATGATGTTCAAGTTGTTTTTCAATGTGTTTGGCGCGATCGCCGTTCCCGAGCCCGCCGCTCCAAGACGGCCCAATGGGGCCCCCGAGACCGCCCAACAACGGCACAAGGTCCTTAAAAGGGTCGCAAGACGGCCCAAGAAAACTTCAAAACAACCCAAGAGGCGCCCAGGACAGCCGAAGGGAGCCCTAACGCGCCGTCGCCACTCTCATGGTCATTCATAATACAATTGCAGGCCACCGTTGCCAAATCCATGAAACCATCCCTATTGACTACCAACTGCAGCAGCCCTGCGCCTTCGCATATAGGTCCACTCAGACTCAAGAACTCGGCGGAACACTGCAAGAAAGGCAAACCGTCGACGCCTGGGTTGAAGTGGGCAGTCATTCCCGCACGATGGGTGCCGATCGGTACACCAGAAGAGTAACCCCCGAGGGCCTGATCGAGTCGTCCGAGATTCCTGCGAAAGCGTCGGAGTGCGAGACCAAGGGGCGATCGCGAAGCTCGCTCCCATGCGGCGCCCGAAGCTGCTCGGAACCATACTACACACCCACTATGTTTGTTTGTTTGTGAACTCCCCGATGGCGCGCCGCAGCTCACCGAGGTCCAAGGACCAGTGCTAACGAGCCTGCAGGGCTGCAGGCGCAGCCCGCTGCTCGGCTGGTGGGAGAGGAACCGCCTCCCTGTCGCACAGCCTTTGACTAGTGTACGGGTTCTCTCCCCTTGAAGGGCTTGCCTCGGCGACATTTGGCCTGCGCATTGGCAGGCTCTCCTTCGCATGGCAGACATAGCTTCTTGGCCCGCCCGCTTCAGAAGACTCCGCACTTGCCACAAAACACAAAACCTCCAGCACGCATGGGAACATGCTGTCGGCTGGGTGGCCCCTGCGAGGGTCTTGCTAGCAGCGCAGAGCGGGCCACCCTCGCATGCACGTTCCTGCAGGGCGTGCGAAAAGCGCGCGCATTCCCTGTGACGTACGCGAGGATCTACCGCACTGCTGATACCTCCAGG